CCCCAAAACCCCAAAACCCCAAAACCCCAAAACCCCACTTGTAGATAATATTACTGAACTAAAATTATAAATGGTAAAAATTCACCAAAGAACTAATTTAGCCATTGAAGAAGAAATCAGAGAGACAAGAAAGGGCTAAAAATAGGGGAAAGACCAGAAAATCTGAGAAGCAAAGTAAGTATTGCTCATTTTATCAGTCTTATCTCTTATAGAATTAGCCAATAGCTCTAAAACGTCTCGTAAGGACAAGAACAAGGGTGATGGCTCTAACAGTATGAGGAAGGACCTTTTTCAAAACAATAGAGAAGAAACCAAAAAGTACCCTAAAGTTGATACTCCTGAAGAACAACAGGAAGACACTAGAGTTGAAGAAGAGAAAAATGTAAGGGACTTAATCTTGCCAGACTAATTTTTACTTTCTCTAGAATCCTTCTCTAAAAGAGCATGGCAAAGTGAAACTCAGACTTAACAAATCTAGAGGCTGCCAAAGAAATCAGAAGAAGAGAGCAATCAGTAAGAACCACTATATTTAATCTAAACTATAGAAAAGACTATTTGAAACCCGTCTGGGCACAATCAGGATATGGCTATAGAATACGACAATAAGAAATAAGAGGCTCCAGAAGTACGCCATTAAGTTCGACCATAAAGAAGAAGCACCTGATCTGGACAAAGTCAATAAAGCTGTAAAGGTATGAAATACTTAGATTTTTGTCTTTTCACTGAAAAATTTTTTTTAATAAATTTCATATTCTAGGCTAACTCAAAAGGCTTTAAGAAAGCGAATATCTTGAAGATTGGTACCACCAGTGAAGTAATTCAGAAAGGAGAGAAGGATGTACTTCAAAATTCACCAGCAAAACATGTTTCTTTTGAATCAGATATCCAGAACAGTCCTAAAAACTCTCATGTGATTATAGAAGGGAGTGACTTACAAACTGTAAGTTCTTGGTCACTTAAAAGTAGTCGTTTATGCAGGTCTCACATGATCCAGGTATCGCCCAGAACATCAATCAGTATTTGAAAGAGCTCCAGGAAGTCAAAGCCATTGGAGAAACAAACCAGATGATACTCAAGAAGCTGATAGAGAATGAGCAAGCCAAAAGTGGTATTTTCAGACAATATTTTAGAAATGAAATTCAAGAAGTTCATAGCAGAGTTTGAATATTTTAAGGCAACTTTGACCAGCAATGAGGAAAAGAAAACTATGGATGATATTAAAAAAGAGATGAACGATATGTCTTCAACAGGAAGAGTGAAAGAGCGTTTCGTTGAAGCCGAGCATCAGCTTGAGTAAATATTGCTTCATTTTGGACTCAGTTCTTGTAATTAAGACTCACTAAAAATAGAAAAGTTAAATTTAGGTTATGGAGAGTAAAGTAAAAATAAATAGAATTGCTGTATAATGCTGATTTATGCTTAATGGGTGCATTTTCTTCTGAATTTAGATATTTGATTTTTCATTAGCCTGACCTTAATCCGACTCGAAAATACCCTCTATATCATCTAATCTCTATTTTTCAGCACTGATCCTCCAGCCCAAGCCATTATAAAGCAAGATGGTAAGCGAAACTTTGACTTTTAGAAGATTAATTCCAAACTTTTATCCCAATCTTGTCCAATTTATAAGTGAAATATGATATAACCCCCAAAACATCAAATATTCAATTTTTACTAAAAATTTAGGGGTTTTGGGGTTTTGGGGTTTTGGGGTTTTGGGG